TAAATTTAAGGGGTTTATCTTTTGGCAACGTGGCTATCTATTGAAGAGGGTAGGCTATGGGTAAAACGTGGCTATCTATTGAAGGGGAAGGCTTGGAATAAAACGTGACTAGGTTAAAAGAGAGAAAAATAGGGGGAGAAATAAAATAGGAAACTCCATTGTTTATCTTCTTTCTTAATTTTTTTTGTCTATTTAAAGGGATATCTCACTTCATCGTAAAAGGGTATAAAATTTGGTCTCATGAAGAGATTATTTTGGGGTGGATTCCCTTGCAAACCTTGAGAAAAGGTATATTCTCTCAACCTTTCTTTTTTTGTTGTAATTTTTTTTGCTTTTTATTTTCTCCCCGTCATCATCGACCCACCAACCCGACGGGTCGATCCGAATCAGGTTTGGGTCCTGGTCCGGTTCAAGTTTTGGATCCAGTTGGTTGGGTCGGGATCCAAATGACTTGGACCCAGGGTTGGGGTCCAAATGACTCAGACCCGACCCGTTGATACCCCTATATATAAGCAAATTATAACTACTGGAGCTAAGGGAAAGATATATTTCCATATCTTACATTCCTTTTGGAAATGAGATGTTTCTTATACGCACCCTCTGCAATTCCAAAGACTTCAAAGACTTCATCACGATAGAAGATAACTTAAGATTGAAACTCAACCCAGAGCAAAAGGGTGAAGAGAATAAGACCAGTTGAGCAACCTTGCATCAATAGAGGCATTTATACATCTATGATATCAATGATTATAATTTTTTGATTTGTAGGCTTTCGCGCTAGCTATTACTTCTTGCTTTTGAGCCGGTTCGTTCACTCAAAGAACTGTTGCTGGTTTTGTAATAGCTACAATACCTGAATCAAGAATATTCGATGTTGTTCATACAAGATTGATGTAAATGAAACATGAAACCTAAAGTTCCTAAAACTCTGCCCTACCCATCTCTATATACAAAAAGATCTTGATCCTATGTAGCCTTGAGAGAATTTGTTACTATATGTGTTTGTTCCTTCTCTGTTGAATAATATTCAAAAGGAGTCGTATCATCTCAATACAAGTACATTTGGTGCAAAAAGTGATACACCCAAAGAACAAGCGTATATCCAGCCAAGGATTCGGGTTTTGCATGATCGAGCAAAGGCCTGGGATAATCCCTTGGAATCTATGTCCTACTCCAAAGCCGCACCTGCTACTTTGCGGGCTTAGATATCCATACCTATTGGGTGAGTTGGGCTATTAAAGGCCTTATGAGTGGTTGTAATTAAACATTTTGATATAATAGAGGATGAAGTCAATGGTAGTGTGGTCCTATAACTATAACATTTGTTGATACCGAACAAAGCTTTATGAACTATGTCAGGTTGAAAAAAACTTATGTTACTTGGGTATAGAAAACTATACTATCCGATAAGGGTTTTAATAGAAACGATCTGATAGTGGTTTTAATAGGTCATCCCTTGATGAGGTTAGAGTATGCTTGAATGAGTGAATCGAAGGCCTGTGTAGCCCTTGTCTATGATGGTGACCTTCAGAGATGAGGTCAAAGCCTCATCGTGTGTCATGACACGGCATGCATATATGATAGTCGTTTCGAGAAAGCGAACCATCTTTCAGGGTGAAGCTTATAATGTGCGAGAGATACTACTAATGAACACCTGCATGGACAGTAGGTCATGGCAACACTGGGTCGGTTTGATAAAGCAACTATGGACTTATTGACTATACTGGGTCGGTTTGAGAAATCAAGTTTAGACCGTAGTCTACATTTGAAAGTAGAGTGCCCCAATGTTTTATTTATTTAATTCCTAGACCATATATATCATTTTCCCATCTAATGAATTTAATTATGTTTGTCTTCATGATATATAATTTTTAGAATTGTTATTTGCATTTTTCTAAGATATTTAGATATTTTATTTATCAAATTTGAATTTATAAAAATATAGGTATTGATTTTAGATTGATTTAATTATTTAAATTGATTTTAGATCAATTTATTTATTTAACTATTTTGTTGGATCAAGCTTTGGCTTGAAGAAAAAGCTTTGTGATGTTTTAGAAAGTATTTGCCTTGAGGAAGCTTTGAATGATTTGTGCATAATATTATGATTGAATTAATTTATATAATTTCTATTGATGGGAAAATGGTTTAAGAAATGGGGGATAAAGGTTCTAACATCTTCCATGTGATGTTGATGATCCATCTATAAAATTGATGACTCAAATCTCTCATCCACAAGTCACCCAAGATCAATGGTGCATATTCAATCTTTCCACAAGTCTCCCAAGATTAATGGTGCATATTCAATCTTACAAGAAGAGGCAAGCCATAGAAACGCTAAAAAACCCTAATCATATATTTGCACTATAAAAAGAAGAATTTTTGCCCATAAATCTCTACACCTAAAATCTCTCTTCTCTCTTTCATATTTTTATCTCTCTCTAAACGCCAAAATAGGGGACACACCCCACTTAAGAAAGAAAATATCACTCTCTCTATCTCTTGTAGAAAATTAGGGGGCACACCCCACTTAGATAGAACTCTATCTCTCATCATGTTTTGTGATGATCTATGGGTTGGGTAGAAATCTTGTTTTGTAATGATCTAAGGGTTGGGTAGAAGTAAGTAGATGTCATCTCTCTTAAACTAGGTTTTATAGGTTATACCTAAGTTTGAGATTTATGATCAAGATGAATTCAAAGTTCCATTGGAGGGTTGGGCCTAAACTTGTTTTTCCAGTTGAGATTGAAGGTTGATCATTAATCTCACGGCATCAGATGGTGATGACTCGATGTGAGCTGTAATAATTGTAGTTAACGTAATATCTGGCACTCTCTTTTTGTTTCTTGTCATATTTAATTATATTGTATTTATACTCCCAAGCATAAAAATTGTGGTCATCTCTTTGATTAAAGAAAATTGGTTTAGTGGCATCAAATTTTAAGATTTTAGATTTGCTAGTCTTTATTTTCTTTGAAGCAAAAGTTTATTGTATTAAAACTACTTGTAAGTGATCTTTGCCAAAAGAAAAAGAAAAAAAAGGGGTGAAAAAACAAGAAAAAAGATATATATATATATATATATATATATCACATTAGTTCTTTTTTCTAATA